TTCGACGACGTCGAATAAAATTGTCTACAACTGTTAATCATAGATTTTCAATCTAGTTTTGTTTCAATTTATTTTTCGACAGTCTGTAAATCTATTGGATTTCATTCAGAACATCTAGGTTCGCAAGATGTATAATTACTTGATTATCAAGTGATTGTACACAAACTTAATTTACAATCTTTCGCAACGACTTCATAATTTACATACTTGCAAAATAAACATTCTGAAGTGTTACAATTCAATCCGTTCGGTAGTTTTAGTTCAGTGATTCATCAGCGTTCTCTTAACTCCGCTACATTCTTCGGATCTTTTTCATTCGATCACGTGTCTACTTTTACAACCGTTTTCTTCGTTTCCTTTTTTTCAATCTAGTATTCCCATTGTGCCAAGGATAGTTTCAACATACGAAACAACATAAACACCGTAACATACAGAAATCATTACACCACGCGCTGCTACTTTTTCAATGATATTTCAGGTGTAGCAGCGTTAATAGTTCTTGTTTTTCCTGCGCGAGGTGAAATTACATAACGGCGGTACTACTAATTGCAAATACTAAAATCGTCACGGTGCCGGGTATCGGTGAAGTCATTAAATAATAAGATCGGCTCCACTTTCCGATTATGTCGTGCAACACCGCGCTGGAACTATCTGTTGCACGTTCCTTTGTTTCTCCCGCGAACGGGAAGTGATTCATTTTTCCTCGGTTCAATGACAAGACAAAATAGACAAGAGGTTCATTACTGTTTCAACACGACCGCTTCTGCGAATCTCGGCTTTGGCACAACGGGGACAGAGGTAAGCTCGCGTGATCAGCATTGCTTACACCGTCATAGCGAGCGAACAGAAACGAAAATGTTTATGTACCGCACGGTAATCATGTTGTAGCGCTGGTTTCGGTGTAATAACTCGCGGGAGAATTGTTTCTTTCCACAGGCAACCGTATCGAACCTTAGTTTTCCATTAACGCGTTGAATGCCGCGCGATTTCATAGAGCAAAATGGCCGAATCGAAAAGATGTAACCCTTTGCACTCGACGAGTGACCCTCAGTCGCCATTTGATTCGATGTAACAAAATTACAGAGTGTTATACATCACATTAAGTTTCGTATAATGCATCGACACGCGAAATATTTCTATAAAATAGCTTTGTTTCTTAATTTACGTATGTTTTCTCATTCGTTTCAAATAACGTCATCTACATTCTCATAGGAAAGTGTCGAATGTTTCTGGTGAAAAGCGAATTGCATTGTTATTATTGCATGTTCGTCTAACTGAATGTCACCGCATTAGGCAGCATTATTTATAATATAGAAATCTTTTCAAATAATCGACAGTTTTCCACTAGAAATATTTTGACATTCGATGATGAGATAAAGACGATACTTTGTGAAATGACACGTACATCGAGGAACAAAGCTATTTTGTTTCAATATTTCTGAAATTGATGCATTGCACGTGGTATAATGTTAAACATCAAATTTTATAGTTTTACTGTATGAAACCAAGTGGCGAGTTGAATGCCGCACAATTTCATAGAGCAAAACAGCCGAATCGAAAAGATGTAATATTAAATCATTCGATCGAATTGCATTATTATGTCCAATTTTTTCTAATGGACGTGTGGAACATGGAAGTGAAATAGTTCTGTCTCTTAATCCTGAAACTACCGAGCAATTGGAGTGACTTATTTGCGATTTTTTATAAAAGTCAGAACAATACGTTTCTTGAGATTCGAAGGGTTCACTTCAATTGAAAATCTTTCGTAGAAACGCCTTAATAATTTCAACGCTTACAAAATAAAAATTCTGAAGTGGGTAAATTTGATGCGTCCGGTAGTTTCAGCGTTAATTTATGTACTATTTATGTGTATAAATATGAAGTTATTCGTTTAAAATTAACATAGAATATATAAATATGAAATTATCCGCTGAATTCTATTTAAAATTGTTATAGACTATAGAAATTCGTATTGTTTCACTCTGTCGTTCAAAATTAATATACTATATATAAATATGAAATATCTCACTTTACGTCATTTAAAATTAAGTTTAAAGTTTCGACTTTTATTTTGAATGATAGAGCACAGAAATTCTTGCGCGCTGAGCAGATGGCAGTCAAATCATCAGACCATAAGCGATAAAACATTAAAGATATGTTACACGTAAACGACGTGTGTAACGGAATTAGTCATCGAATACTGATGACTAGACTGCAAGTTTTTGCAATTGTACCGTGTATGATATCATAAGCGGCGACAGAAGCAAAGCTTGATTTAATTTCGCTCACATTTCGTTTCCGATTTATCAGGTAAATGTACCGATAACTAACCGGTTAAGATTACATAAATATAAATGCTTGATATACATGTAATTTATTGTTTGCACAATTCATTTATTATTCGTATAAATATTTACATATATTTACGTATAATATTATAAACATTATTGGTATCATTCTAGTACAAGTAGTGAATTTTTATTGAATTTTAAGGATTCTCAAAGAGGAAAAGAACTTCAGAACTGGTGACAATCAGAATATAAATAATTTATATACGCGTACGTAACAGATTAATGATTAACTGTGGATTTTATGCATGTATGATTCATTTCAAAGTAAGTTGAAATTAAAATAATGAATACAGGAAACAAAATTAGTTCAATGAAAATATCAGAGAAGTTTATTAAAAATAAGCATAGATATAGTGTAATCTTGTTTTGTATTATATTAAGATAAAATAATTTTTCGAATATGATTACGAGGTGTGACTTTAGAACGGTAAAAATGTAAACAAACATTAAGATTTCAATGTCATCCCTACATTTTTGAATTATACCATATATTTTTATGCGTCAAATGATGATTTTCATTCTTTACAAGAAATCACTGAAATATAAAATAAATGATTCCGAAATGGAAGCTTCATACACCATAAAAACATCTTTATATATTTGGTGTAATAAATGATGTAAAAATGCCTAAGTAAAATAACAAATATTGAAATAATTTATTTCCCATGCACATCATTATAGTAATAATATTAATTTAGATGACAATTTTATTTCATTTCAAATTCGATAGAATTTTTAACACTGCAAATAAATTTTCATCTAAATCTACCCATATTAAATGAATAATTTTCATGTGCAATGCAATTTTTGATTAATAATTTTGATTTCCATAATTTTCATAATTCACACAATTTATCACATAATTTACATGAAACTCCGACTTTGCAATGATAATGATAACGTAATTATTAAACGCAGCTGTACAGTGAGGTAGATTATTTTATTAACAAAATTTAATTCAGCTGATGCATTTATAATTTTATCTGTGTCGAAAGAATTTCCAGTCATTGATGCAATTTCCTTCGAACCAACCTCAAATTCTGAAGTGAAAGACGTGAAATGATACTGTATTTTTAGTTCCACGTTTTTTTACGTCTCGTAAGCTTTAAATATACGGTTCACATGTTCAAGTGTTTCGCATTCGGAGATGGTACTTCTGCTCACATTCAGTGAAACTTTAAATAATTATTTACATCTTCACGAATGACATGTTTATTACAAAATTACAACGTGTCGAATAATAATTTTAAAATTGGAAATTAGATACTCGTGAAAATTAATCAACCTCAAAATGTAAGCAATTTCTGATAACTGGACTGCGGAAGTTTATGCAAATTTATATTTTTATAAATGTACCGAAAATAAAATCCATTCTTCGTGTGAATGGTTTCAGTTGACAGGAAATAAAATGGAACTGTTTTAAATTTCGATTAAATTCAAATTTCATAATACATAAAATTATTATTCTTAATAATAAATCTTTTCGAATACTTCGATTTCGTAAGGAAAAATTTAATGATCAAGGAAAATTTAGAAAGAAAGCTGTTTTATATTTGTTTAAAAAATATTCGAATAATGAAAATTTTGTTACATTTATTTTAATTTGCGCTAATTATTCTGACAAAATCATTGACTAGAATAGTTAATATCCATAGGGAACAATATAATACTGTAATAGCATTTTTATTTAAACTTAAACAGAGTGAAATTTGTATTTCATAGTATTATAACCAATTTTGCTTCCATTTCCATCGTACTATTATAAATCTGATAAGAAATCATTCTTCCACTAGATACATAAATATTTTTTATCAATTTCTGATATCGCTCAGTATACATGTCCTTATCATTGCAAGATTACGAAACAAGATAAACGTTTTAAGCGAATGTCTTCGTTAAAAGTCGTATTTTAACTAGTTTACACCAAGAAATAACAAAACGTATAAAATTAAAACATATTTTTATTGTATTCCACCAAATTATCTTATAAATTATACATCATTCGAAATTTCCTTACTAAGATATATTTGAATCATATTAAAAAACATCATTCGTCCATGTTAAAATATTTTATTATTTACAAACTACCTAAATATTAATTCCGCTACACGAAAAAAGTAATTGAATTCAATTCTCCTTCGCGTAACGTCAACTGTCTTTTACATTAATTTCATTCCTTTTTAATTAATTCTATTCAAAAACACGTTCACATTTGTATACGCGCACTCACACAGTCCACGCTTGAATTTAACCACAGTACACTAATTTTATCACACTACGCAAGAAACGATTTAATCTTTTCCCTCCAAGAATAAAATATTTTCTTCATACCACTTCACATTGAGAAACACATTTCCTACGTGTCCATCTTCTCTCGTCCAATTTCAAATTGAATCTCGATTCACAATGAACAATTAACTACCTCGTGTCATTCGAAGTAACCCAATCACAATTTTCACATGAATTCACCCATCTTCAAAATTATATTTATGTGTATACCATAAACTTCATCATTGCTAGAAATTGAATCGTAACCCGTGCAACACGCACCAGCTTCACCACACAACCTTATCACGAATTAATGCCAATTGTATTACACGTATCTCGCTCTGCCCTGCAATCTATTCGCAATTGTTTACCAACACTTACCATGTTGACGAAGGCGATCCCTGAACGTATCCTTGTCCAAAAGGCTTCGTATCCAAAAAAAAACCAAACGGGGCACGAGGATCAGGCCTTCACTCACGAAAAAGCAATCGTTGACACCATTCGGATCGTGTCGGAAAACACGTACCACGGCGAACAGTCACTGAACACCGACTCGAACATTTGACGTTCGCGATCGTGGAACGGAAGAGACGAACTCAACCGTGCTGCGGCCCGACATGTACTGATCGATGAGTCAGTGCGCCGGTCACAGACACTGTCGTCATGTCGCGGAACGTCATTCTGAAAACCGTACTTCACCTTCGTAATTACTTAAGAATCTTGCTCACGTACGGACGTTCCGCAACTCCTTTGCTCGACAGATGTCCTGCCCTTCGCGCCGCTAGCATTGTAATATCCATTTCGTCCTTGCTTTTTTCGTCGGAACATGCTAGCATAGGTTAGGACTTTTTTTTTGGAGGTTATGAGTTACCGGCTGAAAGATGCTCTGTGGATCGATGGACGTAAAGGTATCTATATACATTTTGTTGAAGTCTTGAATGAATATAAAATGTTATTGATTTTTCACGGTAAGAATTAATAGTGTAATTTATTATCTTTTATAAAAATAGTAAATTATTCTTAAACGTAACAGTAGAATGACAGTTTGAACGTAATCCAACCAGTTTATTCTTCGTCGCGATTATATTGTAATAGTGCGGAAATATTTTGAATTATTAATAAACATTCTTGAAATTAGTTACGGAAGAATTTCATGTAGTTCTTATATAGTTCCTTAATTTTTCGAATGTACACGTTAAATATTCATGAAGATTTCAGAATGAAATGAACCGGAAGTTACACTATATCTTTTCTATAATATATTATGTCGTTAATTTAGGAAATTAATTTTATAAATACATTTTTACTGCAACATGAAAATGTTATTACTAATTAAATATAAGTTTCAAACCTAACAAATCTAAATGATAAAATGTTTATCACATCACAAGGGAGCCTTTCATAGCTGCACACAGGTTAGCATTTTTTAAAAATTACATCTAATTTATTGTTATAAAATCAGTCGGTATTGCCAGCGAATGAAACAGAAGAATAGGATCCATTAGACAAAAGCCGGTGGGGACAATAAATACGAATGTCGGTAACACAAAGCCTACACTGGTAACAGCGACCAATGTCATTACTCCTAATTGCAGCTGCACCGATAACAGGTAGCACTTTCACGTGCCGTTGCACTTGCTGCACTCTAACAACGGTACATTCTAAAAATAGTTTTCAGTTATGCAGCACAAGTAACACCTGCTACGCCCATAATCATAAATGTCGTAATACTGTCGTAATCCGTTCTGATCGACATGAACTCAGTCAAGGGAGAAGTATCACAACAGTTTTATTGTAATCGTGCAATTTCTCCTGTATTTCCGCGATAAATAACACCGAGGCCAATAAATAAAATCGAAAAGTTCACGTTTAGAAGAATTCGTTTTATCTTTGGAAATTATTAATGTCGTTAACTATTCGAAATTTAATTTTTTCAGAGATTAATAGATGTTTATTACATTCGTTAAAATTTGATAAATTAATGATAATTTTTAATAATATGGAAACGGATGAATAAAATGAATGATAAATTATTTTTAATAATATGGAAATGAATGAAATGTTATTTAGAGAAGAACCATAATTTGTTAGGAAGATTTGATAAATTAATGATAATTTTTAATAATGTGGAAATGAATGAATAAAATGAATATCATTAATAATATGGAAATGAATGAATAAATGAATGAATGATAAATTATTTTTAATAATATGGAAATCAATAAAATGTTATTTATACAAGAACCGTAATTAGTTAGGAAGCTTTCCAATAATATCAATATTTGAAAAATAAAATTTTAAATGTTAAACTTCGATAATTTATAAAAAGAGACTTATCTGTATTGTATGAATAACAAATTTCGTTATGAATAAAAAACGGTCCAACTTTGTTGTCTCTGAATGTCAGAGAGTTACGAAAATTTCTGTTATCAGAAGGCTCTCCTATCTGTATTCTGGTTTATATTCGCGTCGACACATTGAATCACACTGTCGTGTTTGTACGACGGCCGATAGCGATTCGCCATGATTCACCGAAGTTTCACTACAACTTTTCGTTATCGACGGAATTGATTAGATTGGTAGGTCTATCGATAACTCTTATTTATATTACGCACAGGTGATCAGTGGATGCAAGCACGGAACAAAACGTTAATGTTAATTACAATGCAATATTCGTTTCCTTATTTTTCAGGAGATTACTCAAAGCTTCGAAACATTCTAACCTATTTGAAATTATATATATTAACCCTTTCCACTCGAGAGGTGACTCGCCACTTGATTTCATACAGTAAAACTATAAAATTTGATACTTAATATTATGCCACCTATAATGCGTCAATCTGAGAAATATTGAAATGCAGCTTTGTCCCTCGATGCATGACTTCATTATAAACGTTTCACGTTATAATATAGATTTTTTATATTATACACATTCAATTTAAATGTAAATTTACCTTACTACAACTATAACGAAAATTGTAATATTTTATTAATTCGCGTTTAAACAATAATGGGAATATGTACTGCTTTTGGCGAGCACTCGATAAAAACATCGAAAGAAAACAGATACAAGGTACTACGTGAATTCATCAACAGTTTTAAATTTATTGTAAACAGTCGAAAGGAACAAGTTAATTAAAATACAATTTGAGCAACAACCATATAAAATTATTTTCTACTTTTCCCATTCCAATGTCCGTTAGAGTCATAATACCGTCAGTTGCTATATTGTCATGGATTCTTCGTTTCACGTGTCATATCCGCTTATAACGTCGGTTTATAATTTTTCAGAATCAATATACGGCTAACAAGAGTGAGATGTAAGATGCCGAAGCTTTTACCATCTAAAAATTCCAACATATTTGACGTATAATATATTCCTGAATATAATGCAAACTATGTATTTAATTAATTTAATTTAAGGACACTAGACGCTCGAATTCTTCGAACATGAAATTTTATTCCGGAAATAACTTCGAGGAAATTAAACAAACCACAGATCTTTCCTTGTGCTTAATTTAAAATATACGGATATTAACAAAATGGCGACGTATGACGATTTTTCGAAGTTATTTGCTAGTCTCCTTAAATTATTCGATATTCCTACGCTACATTTATTATTATGATACTTACATTAGCAAACGTTTCCACGGACAGAGTGACAAATTTCCCGGCTGTAAGCGTCAACTGTTTTTCCGTTCTCAACAACATCAAAAGTATTAAGTGAATATCCTGTTGGTTTAAATTGTACCAATCCATATCGGATACAGCTCGGCGAATATTTTCACTCTGAAATCATTTTCTTCCTTGTAGATTATTACTAAATATTATAGGGAAAACTGCTTTGTTATTTTTCCTGTTTTCTGTGATAGTACAATTATGCTATTATGCTGATTATTAAAAAGAAGTAGCTAATTTGTACATGAAAAGTCTACTATTATATATTATATTATAGTATGTCGATTATTAAAAAAATTTCAATGTGTTTAATAGTTTCGACAAACCGAAGGTGACTATCAATGTTTTAAAAATGTGTTAAACATTTTGTATATTTTAATCACTTTTTAAAAGTAAAAGAAATTCTTTGTAAGAATTTGTAACAGAATAAATAGTACTTTGAATGCACTTCTACCATGAATCTTCTAATTGCGACAAATTTATCTTTTGTTCAATATTTTTATATAATGATTTATGAAAACGATGGTTCCTAGAAAGATCAGTATACTAAGTGTCCAATTATTGAGCAATCGAATTGAATTAAAAAATCGTCAAATTGGCCGATTAATTATGTTCGAGCCATTGTTGTCTCGTCGCATTTTCGAATTTTAATGGCTCACCTTGGTGCTTAGATATTCACCGGTGTAACAGAGAACGAACGCCTCAGCATTAGCAGTCGCATAGTAAGGTAAATATTTTGTCATCAACGAGGAACCGCTCTCTGTGCCTAAAGACTGAAATATTTCATATTAGAACAACGTCGTTGTAGAAAAATTATCAGATCGTTGTTCGCGATAGAAATTACAAATCGAAAGCGACTTACAACGACAAGCATAAAGCCTAGAAAGCAGATAACTAAAATATTTGACAGGAATTGCACCAATGATATGTAAAGGAACAGTTGTTTTATATTCTCAGATAAATATATGATCCTCTGGTGTTTAGCAATGGCACTTTTCAGTATGGGCAGTTTACTTTCTGTTACAGAATTCGGAATACTTAATATTTCTTGGCACAATATGTCTGTTTGACTAGCTACGTGTAACACCTGGAAATTACAAATACCATTTAAAATATCTCAAATGTTCCAAAGTAAATAAATAAATTATAAAGTATTAAGTCATTCCATAAACAATGTGACTCCTTCAATTTCATGCTCTGTACTTTTCGTCATGTGAATTTTAAAAATGGAAGAAAGTGTAGCAAGATGAAAAAGTATTATAGCTAAGAGAGGAGTGTTTTAAATTTAAACGAATTTTAAACAAAAGGTTATAATAAAAGCGTATTATCTATGAGATGACACAATATATTACGTTATATACTTTGAAAGAAATGCAGAAACTTATGTTATCCGAAATTAGAAAGTCGGTTCGCTTGTTTTAAAGAACGAAAAACGTAATTTCATAAAGGTAATCGAGAATATAACTCACTAATGCTGCTATTAATGCCATTGACATCGAAGCGACCCCCACAATGCAATACTGAAGCACAAACTGTACGAGCAGAACAACTTCGTAAACCGGAGTAAACATAACGTCGAAGGGAAACATCATTTTCAACAGCAGTTTCCTCTGTTTTCCGTCGAGCCCCTCATCGGTATCGCCAGACATGAACACGGTACTCACTGCATACAAGAAATAAGTCGTCGAGTAAATGACCAGCAAGCAGTGCGATACACGCATGGATATAACAGCCTTTTCCACCATGAAACGCTTATTCGGAGCGTTTAGACTGAGTTTATTCCAGTCGTCAAGAATAATGCTTAGAATCCTGCTGAGTATCCTGTGAAATGTAATTGAACCATTATTATAGTTAACACGTTGACTGTCACTGCCAATCAAATCGAATTACTATAGTTCACTCAATTAAAAGATGATTATTTGAAAACATTTCTATATTGTGGATAATGCTAGCTAATGTGGTGGCATTCAGCTAGAAATAATAACAATGCAATTCAATCAAATGATTTAATATTATATATATATATTCCATTTCGAGTATTCTTCTTTATGAAATCATGCGACACTTAACGTGTTAAGTATTGTAGTTAATTAGTATAGTTTAACTATAATAGTAAACATTGTAACTTTATTAGAAGTTTCGAAACTATTATCGAATATATTGTTTATCGCAAATGCGGAAAAATTTGTAGTCCATTCGTTCGGATAATAATGTTTCAATATCCAGCTACGTGCAGTACATGTCTTACCGATAATTGCACCAAATAACGATCACCTTAACGAACATAACGATGTTGCCTAAGATTACAGTCAGACTGTCCAACAAGTCAGGTAACTCTTGTGATTTGAAATAGGAAATACAGTACCAAAACTCACTGAACAACGAGAACACCAATAAAATCGTCCAAATGATCCGTGGGATGATTCTATGCGAAGATCTTGGTTCGGCACCGATCATGAAAAGACAATACTTTATGGGACTAGTGATCACTGTTCCAGACGTCATCGAAATTGTTGCTGTATAATATAATACCGTACACACGCAAACGATCAACAAAAGATATTTAAAAGCCTTCCCGTTTGAATAATTAGAACCTGTTTCTGTGTAAATTTTTCCAGGAGACTATTTAGTCGATTTGCTACTAGCCACGACACACCTTGCAGTTTGCACTGTAAGTTTCGATTAACTACTTTCCACTAACTAGAATTTTAGGAAAACAGATAGTAATTAATAACTTATAGCAAACAAAGAAATAACTTTGTTTCCCTTCAAATAAATCTTTGGTACCCAGAGAAAGATGTTCCTAATTTTCCCGACAGAGAACACAAATCTTCGGCAAACGGTCAGTCGCGTACTAAAAAATGAGCCCGGACTTTTCAAAGTTACGATCGCGTGCAAATAAATATCTGCTTTCTATAAGTTTTCATCGATCAACGACCATCGTCCACCGCGCGCTATTATGTATCATTATATGAATTCGAGAGAACTGAATACTATAGATGAGATCGATGATTACACGTTTTCTCTGTTTTATTTTTTATTTTCTTACTACAAATCCGGTGAATTATTTTTCGTGCGACTATCGATGCTCTCCGCGTCGAACACTGATTTACATATTGCATGAGCAGGAAACCTCAGTCGGTTTTAAATAATAATGATCCGGTCAAGTTTCTGGGGTTCTGTCGATGCTGCTGTGCGACGAATAGTTATAGCTTTCGAAAACTGCCGTTCCGAATAGATCATAGTCGAGCTGTTTGTTTCTGGAACAACAACAAATGAAACAATTCTCAGAGGTTCTTCTTCTTGCGGCTTTTTCATTCCTTTCATTTCCTCTTCAGTCATCTCACAAGTATTGTATAGACAAAAGTTTCCGTGGATTCTTCACTGCTTGCGTTTCTATTTTGCTTCCGTAAATAGTCAGTTTACTTGCTGTGCCGAACTAACGTTGGCTTTCGATGAAACTACAATCGTTGGTAAGTGTTGGAATAATGTACATCTTATATATGTTTTTACTATACTTTCAGCACGTTGTGTGAATGTCTATAGGTGGATTTATTCAGAAATATAGTTTTCATGGTCGGTGAATTAAAGAAAATAAATAAATTACGTCGAGCTGTGTAAATCCATCAACAGTTTTAATTTATTATAAGCATCTGAGAGCAACATTTCCAATAAAATACAATTTGAGCAACAAAGTATATTTTCAACATTGACACTGAACTTAAACAACACGTGTCAAACAATGATCATAAAGTTAGTTTCTACTTCCATCATCATGTTCATTCGATCGTCCTATTTTCAGTAATTATATTGTCATGGTTTCTTCGTTTCATGTATCGTATCCGCTTATAACGTCGATTTATAATTTTCCAAATTAGTATACGGCTAACAATAGCGAAATATAAGATGCTGAGACTTTTATCATCTAAAAATTGTAACATACTTGAGGTAAAATATATTCCTGTACATAATAAAAATTATGCATTTTAATTGATTTAATTTAAGGACACTAGGTAATAAAGTTCTAGAAACATGAAAACTTACTGGAAAGATCTGATTGAGATCTAATTGGAAAGATCTTAATCTAATGATCGTTCCTTTCGCATGATTTTAAACATAGAGATATTAACAAAATGGCGACGTATGGCGATTTCTGACATTATTTACTAGCCTCTTTAAATTATTTAATATGCCTACACTGCATTTATTATTATGATGCTTACACTGGCAAACGTTTCCACGGACAGAGTAACAAATTTTCCGGCAGTAAGCGTTAATTGTTTTTCCGTCCTCAACATCATCAGGAGAATTAAGTGAATATCCTCTTGGTCTAAATTGTACCAATCCATATCAGATACAGCTCGATGAATATTTTCACTCTGAAATAATTGTCTTCCTCGTAGATTACAACTATCCGGAAAAAATGATAAGGAAAGCAAGTTTGCTACAATTTTATATTATAGTGTGTTATTGTGTTGATTTTGAAGAAAATTGTTATGTGCGTAATACTTTCGGCGAAACGAAACCGACTTTCAATTTTTTTTTTAAATGATGTGTTGAATATCTTTTATATAACTACTTTTTATGATACATAGTCCAAGAAATTTCTTTACCAGAAAATCTGTGTAAAAATTTGTAACCAAATCAATAGTACTTCGATTTTACTTCTACGACGAGTCTTTTAATGGCGACAGAAATTTATCTGTTTAATTTTTTTATCTAGTAATCTATGAAAATGGATTTAAGATTCATTAAAATATTTTATATTATAACTGGTGCAATATTGGAGCCTGCAAAGTTCAAAGGATTAATGACTCACCTTAGTACTTAGATATTCACCGGTATAACAAAGAACGAACGCCTCAGCATTTGCAGTCACATAATAAGGCAAATATTTTGCCATCAACGAAATTCCCCTCTCTGTACCTAAAGACTAAAATATTTCATATTCATATAATGTCATATACAAAATTTATTTCATCATCGTTCGCGATTGGAATTATACATTAAAATTGACTCACAGTGACAATCATAAAGCCTAGAAAACAGATTATTATAATATTGCTTAGGAATTGCACCAATGATATGTAAAGGAAGAGGTGTTTAATACCGTCCGATAAATATATGATTTTCTGGTGTTTTGTAATGAGACTTTTTAGTATGGGCAATCTCTTTTCTTTGATATAATTAGGAATGCTCAATATTTCTTGGCACAATACGTCTATTTGGCCAGCTACATGTAATACCTGGAAATTAAGAAAATGTCGATCAAAGTGTTTAAAATGTTTCAAAATGAAGCAGTTTGAACCCATAAAATGTCGTGTAAATTGTAATATATTCGGAAATTTCATAAATAATGTGGTTCTTCCAGTTGCATGCACTGTATTTTTCATCATAGACAAGTGAAATTTGGAAAAGGGACATAGAAAGTCTATCAGAATAATGGAAAACAATCGTAGGTAACAAAGGAAAATATACTTGACGTTTATCTGAATTTTTTAAAATAAAAGAACTATAATAAAACCGCAATATCTATGAAATGACACAATGTATTACGTTATATACTTTGAAAGAAATTGAGTAGCCTATTATATCCGAGATCTAGAATTTAAAATACGATATTAGAAACACGTTTTGCCTGTTTCAACGAACGAAGAACGTAATTTCATAAAGGAAATTGAGAATATAACTCACTAACGCTGCCAAAAATGACATTGATATAGCAGCGCCCAAGACAAGGACGTATTCAAGCACAATCTGTGCGAGCAGAACAATTTCGTAAACCGGAGAAACCATAACGTCGAAGGGAAACACCATTTTCAACATCATTTTCCTCTGGTTTCCGTCAAACCCTTCATCGTTATCGCCAGACATGAACACGGTAGTTACTGTATACATAATGCAAGTCGTCGAGTAAATGACGAGCAAACAGTGCGATATACGCATGGAGAAAACAGCCTTTTCTGTCATCAAATGCTTATTCGGACCGTTTAGACTGAGATTATTCCAGTCGTCGAGAATAATGCTGAGAATATCGGTAAGCATTCTGTGAACAGTAATTGAACAATTGTTATAGTTAAGTATCCTAGTTAATTAGTATAGTTTAACTATAACAGTAATTATTATAGTTAACACATTGCGTACTGGTAACGAGAAATCTCGTTTTTATATAAAGGCACTTAGCCATGCAACTTCGCTAATTATCACAGCATTGAAAAAAATATAAAATTTGATTCGAATTGATTATCTATTTAAAATATATTACATAACAATATGATATCTTAGTTTTTCTATGTATAGTGATATAAGTTGACCTCACTGAAAATTGCCATCCGCAC